TCACAATGCTCTATGGGTTTTAGTATTGTTTCTTTAAAGTAACCAACATTTTGGCTCTAAAGGAGTCATTCTAATCAATGGTTGTTAATCTAGCATTGATAAGATTAACTTCAACACTGAACCAAGATACAATATAAAGAGCTCATTGTCTACTAATCAACTATGAAACATTAAACCTTTGGTATCAGAAAAGGTCAGAGGGAACAAGAACTCCTATACAGGGTTACTATACATAAAAGGAAAGACTTGTAGAACATCGCCAACAAACAGTAATATAGCTATCTAGTTTGGTATATATTATCATAGCAAGTTATTGATAGTCCTCATCTAATTAATGCTTACAGCAACCATCAAAAAGCCCTGCTGGCACAGTGGTTAAGCACTCTGGCTACAAACAGAAAGGCTAGTGGTTCAAACCCACCAGCTGCTCCACAGGAGAAAGATGTGGCACTCTGCTTCAGTGAAGATATAGAGCCTTGGAAACCCTACAGAGCAGCAGTTCTCCTCTGTCCTAGGGTTGCTATGAGTCAGAATTAACTCGAAGGCAAAGAGTTTTCTTTTTTTTTTTTTAATAGCAATCATCACTAGCTAGCTATAAACAAAAAGGAAGATAAAATGATAACTGTATTTCATGATTTTAAACCTCAAATCACTCTAATATTTTCGCCACTGAAGAAAAAAGCCTACTTATTACTAAAAACAAAAATGCTTTTTTTTTATTTCAACTGTATAGAAAAAGAGAAATTTTACTTATTAACCAAAAAAATGGTTCTATTTTCCTCACCCAGCTGATGTAATTTCATTATACTCATTTTTGGAGTAATTTTTACTTTAGGGGGAATCTATACATAAAGGGTTTTCTTCTGGAACCATTCAGATAGTTCTAAGATACATGAGCGTAAGGTAATACCATCAATATGAATTAAAGTGCCTTAAAAGCCTACAAAGTTTTTAAAATCCCCATTGCCCGCAGACACAAAATAAAATCTGAAGTCTGTTTGGTGCCACAGCAGGAAATCACGCCTCAGGCGCTGCACTGGCTACTACTCTCTGAGCTACAGGCTAGTCTATCTGCAGCAGACATTTCTGGTTGCCTACCCAACAGTCATTTCCTTCCTATTCCTTGCTAAAAGAATCATTTTTCAAGATTGCTCAATATCCAACAACGCTTGGGGAGAATCTGAGTCTCTCTCTAGACCCAGGGGCTGAAATTTTTTAAAAAGTAAAAAATTTTTCTCATTTTTTAACAATTCATTTTGAATTAATTTCAGACTTACAAATAAGTTATAAACATAGAACAAAGAGTACCTGTATACCTATCATCCAGCTTCCTAGGATCTTGCATTGTCATAGCACAATGATTAAAACCAGGAAATCAATATTGATACAATGTTATTAACTACTCTACAGACCAAATTCAAAGTTTACCAATTGTCCCTGTAATATTATTTTTCTGGTTCAGGAGCATCCAGGATTCTACACTGCATTTAACCGTTGTGTCTCCTCCAGTCCAGGATAGTTTCTCCATCTTTGTTTTTCATGACATTTTACACCTTTGAAAAGCACTGCCAGTTATTTCGTAGACTCTCCTTCAATTTGGGTTTGTCTGAAGCTTCCTCATTATTACATTTGAGTTATATTTTGGGCAAAAATATGACAGAAGTGTTGTTGTGCCTTTCACAGTCCATCATATTAGGAGGTATATGAGGTTGACATAGATCATCACTAATGATGTTAACTTTGATCTTTTGATCGAGGTGGAGTTTGTCAATTTTCTCTACTGTAATGTTACTATTTTTCCCTTTGTAATTCATAAGATCTTGTGGGGAGAGACTTTAAGGCTATGCAAATTTCTGGTTCTCATTTTACTTTCATCCATCAATTTCAGCCTCCATGGATGACTCCTGCCTGCAACAATTATCGCTGTCATGTGTGCCAAACAGTGGTTTTCTATTTTCATCATTCTTTCTACATTTATTAATTGGAATTACACTAAGTAAGAGCTGTCCCTTCTCTTTTATTTATGTATTTATCACTAAAGACTCATGTTTATTTTATTCTATGGGTTATAATTCATTACTATTATTATTGTTTCATTGCTCAAGTTGTCCTAGATTTTGCCATTAGGAATTTTTTCCAGTTGCCTTCTCTATCTTTTCAACAAGCCCATATCATTTTTGAGCACTTCCTTATTTTCTGGGACCAAAAGATGCCATCTTGTATCTTCTGGACCCCAACCTTTGAATTAGCCATTTATCCAAGGAGGCTTGATTCCTTTTATTGGGGAACACTGTTCACAAATCAAGATGTGGGTTCTAGATGGGCTTATTGCTACTGAGGTGTAATTGCTTCCAGGTCCTCAAAGGACCAAGTCTAGGAAATACATGCATGTCCTCACACACAATAACACATAAATATATATATTTTCCTATCTATATATTAAAAACCACGAGTTAATACTAGTGTCATGGTTTGAATTATGTCCCCCAAAATTTGGCTGGGCCATGATTCCCAGAATTGTGTGGTTGGCCTCCATTTTGTGATTGTAATTTTATGTTAAAGAGGATTAGGGTGGGACTGTAACACCACCCTTACCCAGGTCACATCCCTGATCAATGTAAAGGGAATTTCCCTAGGGTGTGGCCTGCACCACCTTTTACCTCTTTTACAAGAGATAAAAGGAAAGGGAAGCAAGCAGAGAAGGGGGAACTCATACCACCAAGAAAGCAGTGCCAGGAGCAGAGTGCGTCCTTTGGACCTGAGGTTCCTGTGCAGAGAAGCTCCTAGTCCAGGGGAAGATTGATGACGACGAGGACCTTCCTCCAGAGCCAACAGAGAAAGCCTTCCCCTGGAGCTGATGCCCTGAATTTGGACTTGAAGCCTTCCCCTGGAGCTGATGCCCTGAATTTGGACTTGAAGCCTTCCCCTGGAGCTGATGCCCTGAATTTGGACTTGAAGCCTTCCCTTGGAGCTGATGCCCTGAATTTGGACTTGAAGCCTTCCTTGGAGCTGATGCCCTGAATTTGGACTTGAAGCCTTCCCTTGGAGCTGATGCCCTGAATTTGGACTTGTAGCCTACTGGACTGTGACAGAATAAATTTATCTTTGTTAAAGCCATCCACTGGTGGTATTTCTGTTAGAGCAGCACTAGATGACTAAGACAACTAGTAACTCAAATTCCTATCCAGCAGCATAGGATTCATTCTAGCCTTCCCCCTTTGCTATTTGTACCTTTCCTGACAGTGAGAATGACCTGGCTGACATTATCTACAATATAATTATTTGCTCAATCCTAGAATACACATAAAGCAGTTTCAGAATCTTTATTACCTAAGTCACTTATATTAATTCAATGCCCTTTGCCCCTTATTGTTCAGGAATAAGCACAAAACATTTATAGTCAATGAGTTAGGGGGAGTCTGCTGGGGACTGCTTCTGGTAAACTTACATACATTCGTAGCAAGGGACACAAGGAAGGGATAGCTTCTTTTCTGCCTTTGGATGTTCTGCACTTAATGGCTAGAATGATGGTCATCTTGCTATTCTGCAGGGGGTCAAGACTAAGAGGGTAAGCCAGAACACTAAGAATGGCAAGGAAGACAGAAATAACCTGGCTCTTTGATGATGTTGCTGAGTCACTGAATTAGCCAACTCCCATTGTTAAAGCACTCGGCTGCTAATCAAAAGGTCAACGGTTTGAACCCAATAGCCACTCCATAGGAATACAGACCTGATGATCTGCCTCCATAAAGATTTCACCCTAGAAAACCCCAGAGGGTAGCTCTATTCTGTCCTATAGGGTTACTATGAGTCGGGATTGACTTGATGGCACACAACAACAGATTCTTTCTACTTTAGGCCTTCTATGTGAAAACATACATTTTTCCTTGCTGTAAAAGCCACTTTTGTTTGTTTTTCAGAAAATATTCTAACTAATAAAATATACATTCTAAATATACTACTTAGAAATGGCTTATTAAATTTCCTCTAAAAGTAAAGAAACATCTTCTCATGGGGGGAACTAAACACAGAAATGGGTTATTTTATGGTTAAGGACGTTTAAAATAACATCTTTAAGGTAGGAACATGTACACTTTGAATACTGCAAAGTATTTAAAAGTGTTCCTAATTAAGAAGACTCATAAAATTATTATTTTTAAATAAAACCATTTTAAAAAATTATGATTTCATATTTCTGAATCTATTTCCAAACATGACTTTCCAGGTATGAAGAAAAACTTCCCATTTTCAGATTATTAATGGAGAAAACAATTGGGTGCGTCCTGGTGAGGGATCAGTAACTAGCTTTCTGTTACAGCCTTGGAAGCTTTACAAACATAGAGTAACTGAGGCCCATGGGTATGTACCATAAAGCAAATCCAATTATTACTAGTCACAATGATATTAATTTTTGTTATGGGTACCTATATTCTACTACGAAATCTGACTCAGATTCCTGAGTAGGGAACTCTAAAGATCATGCGTAAAATCTGCTCCTAACTTAGAAAATCAGATCTGATCACAGGCTTAACAACTAAAACAATTCAGGGAGTTCTCTGGTAATTTCAAACTACTTACAAGGAGTCTCAGAATACCCATTTAATTTCTGTTTCTTAAATGAATTTAGAATCCCAGAATTACTGTATTCCCCTTCTTGTAGTATCTTCAATTCTAGGTGTTAATCTTAGCTGAGGAAAGAATGCTGTCGACAGATCCATCAAAATGAGTTTACAAATCAGTTTTAGCCTCAATAAATACTTTATGGAAAAATATTTTATGTGTATATATAAATTCTATTAAAATATAAATATATACACAAATATTAACTAAGGATATTCTTACAATTACAAAGTTACACATTTTACTTTAGAATTTTTAAAATCACTGTCAATTACACAAGACACACTAAGTAAAGCTAATTTCCTTATAAATAAGAAATTCAGGTCTAATATGTCAATTACCTCATAAATAAGATATCACTGTTATATACTGATACTTACAAAATTCGTTCCTTTTTCAGTTTGGTTACTTTTAATTGTAAACCTGCAAATAAAAAGAAAAAAAATCAGAGTATTTTATTTACACAATTTACTGTTTCTATAGCAGTGGATTTAAGTTCTTTTGTGAATCTAATGCTACACTATTAAGTCACTTCAGTCTAGCCTCTGATTAATGAACCAGGCCCTATTAGTTGGAAGAGAGTGCATTTCCCTTTACTTGTTACCCTCAGGTCTTAAAAGTATATCTGCAACATTACTGCTTTTGGTCTATCATATGACAACCAAGTAGTAACCCACCTACCGTGAGTTATTTCCTTTCTAATAGCAGGGGTAAGCATATAATCAGGGCATACTATAAACGAAGGTCTACGTCCTAACACAGCCTATGTATTTGCTAACAGCAACAGTGCTTATTTAAGCTCAAGTCTTCTGGGATTAAACTAAAATATGACAGGAAGTCCTTGACCTGGAGCAAAATTGCTTACAAAGTACTTAACAAGGGCACTAGCATTGTATCTCAAGATATGTTACATTTTTTTAATTTTAATTGATTCTGATGAGCGCAGTGGTAGAATTCTCGCCTTCCAAGCAGGAGACCTGAGTTTGATTCCCGGCCAATGTACCTCATGCATAGTCTGTCAGTGGTGGCTTATGTATTGCTATGATGCTAAACAGGTTTCAGTAGAGCTTCCAGACTAAGAAGAAAGGCCTGGTGATCTACTTCTGAAAATCAGCCAATGAAAACCCTATGGATCACAAAAGTCCAATCCCCAACCAATCATGGTGATGGTGCAGGAACGGGCAGGGTTTTGGTCCGTTGTGCATGGAGCTGCCATGAGCTGGGGGCTGACTTGACAACAGCTAACAATTGAGTCTGACATAAAAACAGTAAGAGAAAAAACCAAAAACCATTAAGAGAACCAATGCCTAGAGACTCAGGTAGTTACTGTAAAGAAAGTAAGGAAGAATATGGACAAAATAGGGCAACATTTCTAATTGTCATTAAACAAATATGAAAATGCAGTCAATATCATTTACAACTAAACAAATGCAAACCAAAACAATTAGCAAAATTTTAAAAATCATAATTCCTAGTGTTGAAAAAAAGTGTTTTAAAACTATATTCCCATACTTCGCTGGAGTACTGGTACAATTGTTTTGGAAAGCAATTTAGCAATATGTATTATGGACTCCCTGGGTGGTGCAACTGGTTAACATGCTTGGCTGCTAACCAAAAGTTTGGAGGTTCTAGTCCACCCAGAAGCACCTGGGTTACTGGTGACCAGGGGCAGTAAGAAGCTATTACTTAATGGGTACTGGGCCTCACTTTGGGGTGATGAAGAAGTTTAGGAAATAAAGAGTGGTAATGGTTGCACAACACTGATAATTACTGTCACTGAATTGTACACATAAAAATGGTTACAATGGCAAATTTTATGTTATATATTTTTTTACCATAAAAAAATTGCCTAGAAAGTTTAAAAGTTCTACACTTAGTCAAGAATTTCTCTTATTTGAGGCAGAGTTAGTTCCCAATAAATAGTTATTAGTTGACTGATTTATTTAAAAAAAAAAAAAATCAAAGTTTTTTTTTTGTCTTTGGTAGCTTATCTATGGATTCTAATAAGTTATAAATTTAGAAAAGCTTTCCATGTAGTTATGTATAGAAACATTAGTAAATCTGTCATTTCTAAGAACAGGATTTCTCACTATCTGTTTAATTTAGGACAATGTTTTGAACAACATAATTACTACACAAGTAAGAGTTTTAAAAAACTAACCTATCGTTTCCCTACCATCCCCCACAGTGCTAAGTAGGAGTTAGGTTAAAAGTCACACATATACTGATAGGGAAAGTCACCTCTCCTTATTGTCCTTGGGTGATAATGATTGAATGCCAGGAAACCCAGACATTGTGGAAAATAAAGGCCCCAGAGAATTTTTTGGATGTTAACACGTTCACATCCGGGAAATGTTCAAATGATATAGCACATTTTACCCTTATTTCTACGGCCTACAATCTGAGTAAATAAACTTTATGAATAAACCTGTAAATAAATATTCATAGTAGCTTTACTCCTAACAGCCAAACACTAGAAACAACCCAAAGTCCTTTAATGGGTGACTTGTTAAACTATGATATATTCATGCTGTAGAATACTACTCAGCAACAAAAAAGAACAACTATTGATATGTGAAACAACTTAGATGGATCTCAAGGGAATTTAATCATGCTGAGTGAAAACAGCCAATCTCAAAAGGTTGCATACTATAGACTCCACTTATATAACATTCTTGAAATGATAAAATGATAGGGAGAGAGACAGACTATTGGTGGCCAGAGGTTGGAGGAGTAGGGTGGGAGGTAGGTGGGCTGGGGATTTAAAAGGGTGGCACACAGGATCCTTGGTGGTGGCAACACGAATCTATAGGTGATAAAACTGCACAGAACTAAGGACACATGTACACAAATGAATACATGTAATACTGGTAGAATCTTTTCATTTTCTAAAATTGTTTCCATCCGTCAATTTCCTAGCCTGAGCAGTTTCCTTCTTTTTCAGGTGATGACGAGTAACTCTTGAAACCTTGAAAGTACTTAGTAAAGCATGAACTCATTCTTGACAAATTAAGAAAAGAAGAATTTGTGACCCTACTAGGCCAAAGACTGGAGTCAACAGTTTTTTCTCTCTTATTTCCTTCCATAAAGTGTGTAAACTTTATCTGCTGACAAATTTTCTTGCTTTTAATTTTGGTCAACTTCTAAAACTGAGGTCTGCCTTCAGAAGTGAAAAGTTCAGCCAAAGATGAAATGGATTCTTGCCATGAACCATTTTAAGAAAAGAAACAATGAGACAGAAAATCCATATAAACTTCAAAAGAAAATTCTTGGGAAATATGGAAAGACTGTTCTTTTATCTATAAGCATTCAACACCTGCGAGGCATTTGTTCTGTCATGCAGATCAGCTCTGAAACAGGTTTGTGTGTGTGTGTGTGTGTGTTTAAATTTCAAGCACTTACTATTCATCAAGTCAATTAGGCATCTACAATTAGAACCCCTATAAAGTGTGCTTTAATCCTGCTCCACACCCATCGGAAGGAATGAGGCTATACAACAATGCAGCTCCTGTATGGACAGGTAGTCTGTTCAACAAAGTATTTGGGATTCTAACACTGGCAACCTGAGACACCTAATGAGGAAAGGGCGCTCAAAGATCAAGCACTGTACTACAACTAACCCCGTGCCCACGTATATAAACTCTGAAAGAAATAAAACAATCAAGTGCCCATGTGTCATTACAATACACCAAACAAATTTAAGTAATTCAGAAATGAGGCAAAAATTCAATTTGTTATACATAAACGTAACAAAAATCATTGCTATGTTAATTATTACTTATTTTAGTTCTCTACCCAACCCCCCTACTTCAGGAAACACTGCCCAGAATAAACCATATGCAATGTATGTACCCTAACTTTAAAACAAGTGATTTATGGTCTCAAACTATAAATTATAAGCCTAACATCAACTTTCTTGACATATTAGTGGGGGTGTGTGTGTATATATATATACACTTACATATATATAATAATTGATATATATACATTATATACATACTATTTAACTTCTTGGAAGTATTATTACTAGTATTCCTACAATTATCTAATAAACTATTTCAATTCCAAAGTGAAAACTCCTGTCTTTATGAGATGCAGCCATATTCAAGGTATGTTTAGTTTGCTCTTAAGATTAATTATCTCAAAAGGGATAAATTAATTTTTGTGGATTTTGTTGAATTTACTCATGTTAATACAAACGAAAAAATAACAGATACGACAGTTACCAACAGCATTCGTAATGATGAGCAGGACATGTTGTTATGGACCAAAATTACATGCAATTCCTGTCACTACTCATTTGTGTAGTCTTACGAATGTTCCTTTTTAGGAATTTTTGATGAAACATCTGAGAAAATAAATGGAGTAATTCTAAACTGAATCAAGAAATATTTATCTTGTCATATTAGAGCCTCCATACTTTCCCATTCCTTCAGAGAGGTTCAGATTTTGCCCCCTAAAACTGCCCAGTTTTCCACGAAATTGATGATCAGATTTATAAGATACAGAAGATATATTAGCTGAGATGCTGGCAGCAGAACCTGGCATGCACAAGAGTATTTATTAAAATGGTAGTGTTTTGAAAAATAAACATTCCAAATTTCATTTTATTACCTGCACTTTTTTTTTTTATATTTTATTGTACTTCAGGTGAAGGCTTACAGAACATACAGTTTCTCATGAAACAGTAGTACACATGTTGTTATAATTATGACATTGGTTAACAACCCCACAACATGTTAACCCTCTAACTTCTCAACCTTTTTTTTCTTTTTTTGGTGAAAATACACATAGCCAAAGATACACCATTTCAGAAATTTCTACATGCACAGTTCAGTGACATTGACTACGCTCTTCCAATTGTGCTG